CAGAAGCCGTGTTTCGAATAATCGCGACGGAGCGCGGAAATGCTCGCGATAGGATCCGAGTGGAAAGAATGACAAAGGGATTGCCGCGAGAGCCGTCGCAATTGAAAAGGTTTTCGCATAAAATGGCAGAGTTCGTAGACGTGTGACAGACTGATCGAAGCGTGGAAAGGCATCGGGATCGATCGTCCCGCCTCCGTGCGTGACGTTTCGCCGATGGAACGGACTCTTCCTACGTCCGGCAAGCCGAATCGAATGAATAATAAGCGAAATCGTGGCTCGACACTGACCATGGACGACTAAAAAAGAACGCGCTCCTTATAGCCAGACAGAGTCCAAGAAAGAGCAAATATTCCAGGACGTATTTAGAAGCTTTCTACTTTATATTGTATACATCGTACATTATATAAAACTCGAAGGACGAGGTTTTCGATCGAGAACGTACACTGTAGGATATGTTAAGAAAAATCACTAAATTGTTCCACGAATATTCGTTACAAACCACCACGATAACGCAGCATTAATCGAGCGAGCACGAACGCGAATGTCTCTCTAATCTCGTCTCGTACTACTCGGATCGGTAACGTTTTTATCAGTTCCTTTCTGTCCGCGCTTCGAAACGTTGCGACAGGTAATTTGTTCCACGTAAGATTTCCTCGCGATAACTCGTCGAGTTCGTAAACAGACATCGGTTCAAACTAATTGAAAGTATTTGTAAAATAATTCAAACTGTACACGTAACCCACTAGAGACCAGAGTGTAAAGACAATCGATCTTCAGGCGTCGCGTCGTGTAATATCGAGACTCGCATTTCAATTTCCGTAATAAAAGCCGTTTGGGCTGTTTAGTTCCGACGCAAGAAATTCCACTTAAATAAATATCGTAAAGAAGAATCATGAAACTTCGATTGTCTAAAGCCGTTACTTGTTCTCGCGATCGTATCTTCCAAACTCGGATCGTTACTTTTTACCGCGGAGCCTTTTACTGTCTCGAAAACAGAACCAAAAACAATCATCGCTTTTCGCCTTCGTACCTTTCCATACGTATAGAACCAGCCAAACCAAGGCCATAACTTTTCGCACTCGGACTCTTAATCGTCTAGAAAAGAGAATCGGAAAACCCGGACAACCTAAGCCACTCGCGAAAACCGCAATCATCGTAAATCGTTACGATCGACTACATAAAATAAAAATGCGAATGTCCAGTAAAGGATTAACGCGTTGTTCGCCTCTCGAGATACCTATTCCATCGAAGGTCAGCGTTTGTAACGTCGCCCGCGCGAAAAGAAACAATTACACATTGCTATATTTTTCTGGGCCAACGGTATCGATTTTTGCAGCGTCGCTGTAAAAGGTTCGCCATCTTTTCGGAGATAAGGCTCCCCGCGAAATGATGCCGCTGCCTAAAATCCGAACGGTATACACACCCTAGAAAGGGTTTCTCTCGCGTACAATTCTTAAACGATCCCTCTCGTCTTCGTATTCGGAGACTCCCGAGAGAACGAGGCCTTCGACGGGTGTTCGTGGTAACGTCGATCGCGGCATCGTCGCTTTACTTTACCTACAAACACTCGGACAAAAGGCAGTTTCTAACCACGTAATATTTTGCCTTGCCAGTTGCGTCAACTTTTAACGACACGTCGATTAAAGCGGGGTTAAGGAAGATTTCTAGGAAGAATGGAGGTGTTTCGAACAAGTACCGAACGAGGCCAGCGTAGCGTACACGTTGCCTCGCGGAGTTGGATAATAAGAGGCATTGTTTCGCGTAATAAGAAAGCTTTATGGCACGGTAGTCCAGTGCTTCCCAACAGGTGTCACGCGGTACTCCGGTTCACCTTGACGAGGGTTTCGGTGTGCCCCGAAAAATTTGTAATTTAAAATAAAACGTAAAATTACGATCACGTTGACACGCGTTTGTTCGAAGAAAACTTTTGGTAATATAGAACATTGCATCCTACCTTTGTCGATGTCGCGTTACGAAATCTCATTTGCTATATCGAGTAATGAATATTTACGCTTAAAGTATTTCGTACGAACGTGTCGAAGTTAAAATGGTCTCGAAATGGTTGGGAAGCACTGCTCTAGGGCACCGTATTCGCCTCGTAAACGTTCAGGGTGTACGCGTGCAACTCGACGCCAAGCTGCCGCCAGGTTGCGTCTAGTGTTTTCCATTCGAGAAGACGATTAAGTCATTCGTGAGAGCAGTTTTTAGCGTGTGCACCGCCAGTGAAATTGCAGCAGCCGTTGTTAGGACGTAATTTCATCCGCGAATTGCATCGATTGCGTCTTTTCTTGTCCGTGGGCGCGTATATTTCCGGCGAATCGAATTCGAATTTATATCGACGTTTCGACGATTTAGCTCTGCCGTCGAAACTTTCGCGTTCGGCGAAAATTCGTTGGAAATTTGAACCGATTCGAAACCGCTTTTTTGTTGGATTCCTGTATCGTCGACCCGTTCGATTCGAGAAAAATTCTCGACCGTAACATTCGACGGAAACGAACGAGGTTCCCTATATTTTTCGCGGAGCGCGTATTAGCCCAAATTTCCGATACATTTTGAAGCGACGCGTCCGCGTTTCCGCTCTGTTTCTAGGAAAGCTCCTTCGAAAAGAATCGGAAGTCATCGGAGGAGAAATGCGATCGAAAAGTTCCGGGACGTAAATAATTCCGAATGAAAGCGTAAGAGAGATTAGGGTTTGGCGCGGAGGAAGATTTTCCACGTAGGAACGAGTCATTGGCTGGTAGTTCCGAAATCGGATTGCTTAAAAATATCTGGACCGGAAACTATTCGCAATTTTCGGAACGGTGGCGCGGACAGGTCAGTCGGAAGAATCTTCGTGGAATAAAACGTATATACGTAGGTATATACGTGTCTTGAAGAATCGCCGAAAGGACGGTTCGACGAGAAGGTCTTCTTCCTTCAACGAATTACCCTCGAGGGTAATTTCCTTCTGCTTGGCAAGCTTCTACGGGTACCTTTTTATCCCCTCCTTTATTTCTGGTAGAACGCTTTTCCGTCCAAATCTCTACACCGCTATCTTGACACCGTTATTACATTAAAAACACAAGTAATTAGAACGAACTGTTATACACTCACGGTAAACATTTTCCCTTACTCGCTAAATAATTCAGAACATAGATGTTCTCCATTGTTCCCTTTCCCTTCCTAAATCCCGTTTGCCACTCCCCTAACACCCCTTTATCCTCTGCCTCCTTCTCTATCCTACCTGTTAATATCGTCGCGTACACCTTGTACATATTTTCCCTCACTCATTCCTGACCTATTCCAAATTTTTGCTTTAATCGAAACAACAACTTTCACCATTACTCATTCCCGACTCTTCAGCTCCCAAACTCTCATTCTTTTCCGTATTTTTGTTTCCCTTATCCACGAAGATATTTAACAGTTTTAAGAGAACCACTCCGTTGACGCGTTGTTGTAGAAACGCTGGCCAAATACCGACGTACCCTATTCGATCGATAATACACGATGGAGCTATCCAAAACTGTAACGCCACGATTAACCGATACCCGTGCGTCAACGTTTACATAAATAATCGATCGCGAGATTCGACGCCGCGCCGTTGAAAGTTTCAACGGGGGGAAAGAAACACTAGATAAGCGGCGATCGAGGAATCGAGTTCCGCTATAAAATACCAGGTGATGACGATAGACGCGCGACAGGTGTACGGTCGTTGATGGTGCAACAACCCCGGCGTAACGAGAACAATGCTGAACCGAAGGGTACATGGGCGACGTTGCGAGCGGGCGAAGCAGAGTCTCGGAAATTTATGGAAATCGCGATAATGAGGAACACGCGGCTCTATTTGAACAACGAGGCCTGATATCTCTGCATTTGCGCGTTTATGCGCGACGTTCGACGCGCAGTTATTAAGGTTGGGACAGTTCGAATACCGTATTATCGGAATGCTTGACCACTGTCCGAATGTTACAGATAAAATTCGAATGCCACCCGTTGGAACGTTACGAACATTGTTACATGAGTAACAACGTGCGAGATACGTACGAAACTTACATTTACCCTACGTAAAATCTTCAATCTGCTAACCTATGCAGGGAGCGCAAAAAGGCCGACGATTACTCGGATTATTTCATAGCGCGAACACGGGATTAATTAACCGTGGAAGCGTTTCTCGTTGAAACCACACGACCATGATTTGCTAACGAACCGTTCCCATCCGATGCGGGCTCTGAAAAATTCCAAAGCGTATTTTCGCCTCCGAAATGGAAAAGACGGCTAGAGAGAGTTTCCCACGTCCAATAGATTTCATGTTAAATAGCAAACGAGAAGTCTGTCGTCCACCTCTCACGTTTCTCGGAGGTCAAGTTTTTTTAAGCGGATTTAGAGTAAAGAATAAACGATATTTCGATCAGATTTATCGATCGCCTTCGAAGATGTAACTCGAACGCGAATATAAACTACGCAATTGGACGATAGAAAAACCATCGCTGCTCGACCCTTCGTTCGTAATATCGATTTTCCCTTGTTCGACCAAACAGGTGCTCCATGCCTGTTGTACAAATTAGAATGGCGATAAGCGTCTCTTTCCGTGATTTAATAACCTTAAGAGCATGAAAAAGACTTCGCAAATCGTGAAACCGATATTTCGCGTTTCTCGTTAAACAAGCTGCCGTTTACTCGTCTCACCGAACCAAGGGAAAATGAAAGCGCGTATGTATTACGCGGCAAGAATGGTTACGTGTCTCTAGAGGAAAAGCTGCGGATTGTACGCAAGTTAACGTAAAGGAAAATCAGTGACACGGAAACTACCCGCTCGAACATTTTATACGAGCTTTGCTCTGAAATCCATCGAGGAATTTTATTCTCGACCACGGCAAATATTCTTCGAGTCCGAGGTATCTCCAAGACTCGGACGCCTACTCTTCGTAGTACAAAATTCGTTCGAAAATAAAGCAGCACGATTTCACGCATCGACGCGATAAAAGCGAGATCGAGACGAAGGGGATAGTAATGGTACTCACAATACGTCGTGCTCATGAGTCGATCGATGGTATCCTGCTTCAGTTTGCTATTCTTCTTGCCCATGTTTCTCGAGAGAGTCCTCTTTCCTCGGCACGAGCGACTGTATCACTTTATCGCTCGTCCCTGGTCGATTATTTTTCTCGGGCTTCGAACAGAGTCTCACCGTGCGGCTCGCATCTTTGGCGATTCGCGGATTTCAGCTGGCGAATTACCAATCGAGATCACAGGAATCGATGCTGCACGTTTCGAACTTTAAGGGCGATTCGATTGATCCAGATCTGGACACGCGGAAGGTTAAAGGAGACGGAGAATCGATCCGTGAAATCCGAGTTCCGTGCCGCACGCACCAAAGAGGCTCTCGATTTCCCTCGCTAGCTGTTGCGGTTTCACGGGAAAACGGTTCCTCGACTTTTTCTCAAGGTTTCGAGGGCTTTTTCCACGGCGACGTTCCTTCCGCTAACTTCTTCGTATTCCACGACGAAGCTGTTCGAAGAGTCGGGGGTGATCTATCGAATTTAGATCGGTCGCGAAGCGGATCGGTTCGTCCGAAGATCTCGGGCATCAGTCCATCCTCGATTGGCGGCTGGAAAAGTTTGTTTCGTCTCGTCGTAAACAGGAATTCGTTTCGATTCAGAGCCAGATTCAATTTCTATCCCGCTACTTCGAAGCGAGTCGCGAACCGCGAGGGATTCGTCCGAATTCGATCTATTCGTTTTGAAAGCAAGAAAATTCGATCGCGAGAAAACGTAGAAGAGGTCGCGACCGAAATAGCGTGATCCGTTAAAGATTCAAAAGATCGTAACGCGAGGAGAATGATATATACGGGAAAATTGACGGCATCAAAAGTATCCACGGCACCCTTTTCACGGACTATAAATGTCGTCGGACTTATTAAATGAATGTCCACGGCTGCAGTCGCTGATTACATTTTGACGCCACCGTACGAAAGCTGGAACCTCCTTTCAACGGTGCTACCGTTCCGCTTATTCGTCTCGCTATGGTCTGGAAAGTTGCTGCGTCAATGAGACGTAAATGTTAAAAGCGAGTATGCCATAAATCTCTTCTTAGGGGACGACGAATATTCCGACATTATTAATTGCACAGCAGTACCGTGAAATTTAATAACGGTAATTAACAACTGCATACGTAATCGATTGACGGCTCTGGGACCCGAAACGCGTGTCAATTAACCCTTTTCACCTCGAGCAATTTCAATTTAACGCGTCGGTTGGTGTCGGTTGCCGGTGTTTTCTTCTAGAAATATATCATCGGCAGATGGAGACCGGCAACGGGGTGCGAATGATTGAAGGAACGCGATTCGCGAACGTACGGGAACGTTTTTTTTTTTTTTTTTTTGAGCTCCTTTGATAAAAAGCAGTGCTAAGAATTTCATTTAATGCATCGATGGATTATGGCGTGAATGGAAACTAAATCCCAGGAGTCAGATGGCCAGGCCGTTTCGCGGCACGGTCGTGAGAAACGATCGCAAAAAAAGGCAAAGGAACATTTGTCGTTGATAAATGGTCCACTGAAGGGAAACGGCAGGCTGCGAATGAAAGAATCGAGGCGGAAGCCAATTGTTCGAAACTTAAATGCGATCGCCGATTAAACTGCAGAGGAAGACGGTCGAAGGGTGATTTTACGCAATATCGGGAGATTAAAAAGTACAGGTGATTCTTCGAAGGGATCTCACCTTGCTCTATTTTCCTACTATCCTTTCCATTCGAAGCAGTCGGTGATAGTAATTCAAGTATCTAATTCAAGTATCTGAATCAAGTTCTAAATCGTTAATATAAAAATGAAAATCATTCGTGTCGGAGCATCAACGTCAATTCTCGGGTCGTGCATCGTCAACAAAAATTTCCGGAATTGTATCAGCGAAACGTGATTATTGCCATTCCCTTCTGTCCTACCGTCAGTCTCTCGCTATTAGATTAATCTCTCTGGGAATATAATTGCTTCGTTACTCGTTGAATTATTCACGAACGTTTCAGCCGAAAGATAACGAGCTTCGAAATTCCGTAAGGTACAGTCTATGACTGATTCACATCGTCCAACTAATGTCTATTCTAATGTCTAGTCTATACCATATCGAAACGCGAGTCTCTTAGCCGATTCGCGAACATGGTCCGTCGATGAAAGCGATCGAAAATGGAAACGTGGCTTTTCTCCTCGATGCCGATCAATGCGCCAATTTGTACAACGGAAATTTCAGGATACACGCTGTTCGATCTACGGTTAAAAGCCTAAGCGCTCTGCTTAAAAGTAAACGATAAAAGCAACGACCAAATTGAATTGAAATTTTCCATTACTCGATCGAACAACCGAAAGTAAACTTCTACCCGTTCACGTACGGTGAAACAAATGAAATTCCCTCCTGTGACGGTAGTAATTACTTCACCGAGCCCCGTCATCCCAGAAAATAGAACGTAGCGTGTTGCGAATAAAACCGACCCGGCTGAAAGGTCGGTATCTGCGCGTCTTTGGAATTGCCCTAGATGAAAAAACGCCGCCATAAAACGGAACCAAAGACTTTTGCTACCGAGAGGAAGCTGCGTGATCCAAATATAACTATAGTTCTTAAATAAAGTGAAACCTGTTACAATTCTAAACGCCCGCACAGACTCTCTGCGTTTTGAATTATTCCGAAACCTGGTAAACAGGTGGCAAGGATGTCGCGACTTTAGCGTGAATATTCTCCGAAGGTACGAATGTACTCGAAGTAAACAATTACAAGGTGAAGCGCTGATTGTTCGGCACCGTGCCTATTGGATTATTGGATATTCCGGTCTGTTGGCCAATATCCCCAGAAGTAACCGACCGAGATGCTGTCTGGTCTTGGCAGATCGCTTCGATACGCCGATAACGCGAGTTCTCGAAATTATATCACGAGTTTCGCCGACTCGGCGCACTCTGAGCCCGAGTCGATACACGTCGATGCAATCAACGGTGGGCCGCGATAATAGAGAAACAAGAGTATATACTGGCAAACTGTTAGGAAGATTTTCGAAACGTGTAACGAGTAGTCCGGAGGATTTTATAGCGAAACTACGTCTGTGTCGTTAGGGGAAGTCTGGAGCGACCTACCCTTCCGAAGCATCGTAGCGAGCCCGCGTCGAGAGTGCTCGACCAAGAGTTTCTTAGACGACGAAACGTAAGGGACGGGTATGTAATTGCCTGGAAGCGCGACTATTTTTCTCGTCCAAGATAGTTCCTCCTATTTTCCTTCGTAACACGTGTTTTTTGTACGAGCAACTATCTCCTAACATCGAGGTCTATTACCATCGTACGCGTACTCGATTTCTAGATTTCTCTCCACTAATTGTCGTACCGTGCGTCACTTTAAAAGAGTCAACAACCACTGCGTTACAAGTACAGTTTTCTCGGAACAAGCGAGTCTACGTTTCGGAACGCGTATTATATCTCGCGCGAAGGATTCCTCTAAGCAAGATTCCCACGGGATATCGAATTTTGTCCCGCACTATACAGGGCCACGGTGGGAGCGCGCAGAGAATAATTACACGCTCGTAACATTCACGTCCACGGATCCAAGGATCGGAGCGACGCGCAAACGAAACCGAATTTTATCGACGAATAAAACTGACGTTTTTCACGATAAACGCCGTGTTTGGCAGAAATGGATGATATTCGTATCTGGATAAAAGCGTCGAACAAGAAATAAAGCACAAACGATTAGAATTAAATTTCAACGATCAGAAGTCTATCCTATTATCCGTCCGTTGCGAATAAAGCTCACACGGTGTTCGCACTTTTCATCTATTATTCGAATAAAATTTTCCGGATGCCTCCAGACATGCCTCCGGTAAACCTCGGCCGCGTATGGGTCGCTTTATAAAAATGCATTCGTGCGGATTGCGAGCAGAGATGAACGAACGTTTATACGTTTAACAAGCGATGGATCGAAACGCCGCATTTATTCCCGACAGATTTATTTAACTAGCAACGAGTCAGGAATTCTTCGATGCAAATTCTTGCCATCTTAATTAATCGGATATCAACAGTCGCGAGTTGAAAGGACGAATAGTTTCGCGATCTGCCGTATCTTTCGTTCGTTATCCGAAACTTTTATCAAGATACGAAAGTTTCCCGTCTCTGTCTATGACCTGGTAAGGAGAACGGGCCGCGTTAAACGAAATCCCAGCATCTCGGCATCGAGGTCCGCTCAAAGTGATCCTGTAAACGTTGCGGTAGCAGAGACGCGCATGCTGTCGGCAGACAAAAACGCGTCGCGAAGGTGTCGATGCGAACCGAGCCGAAGAGATCCCGGCGAAACGAAACGAGGCGAGATAATGGTCCGCGGTCGCGATGGTACCCGGTGGCGGAGGCGTTGCAGAGATTTCGGTGGTCGCCACGGCACAGAGTCGGGACCTGTCCCGTTTCCTGGTAACCGGTCGACGATCGGAACACGCGGATTTCCCTCGCGGTTCGACGTCGGCTCGCGAGACGAGGCCTGAACTTCGAAGCAGCGAGTTTTCATTCATGAATCCTCACCGTCGTCGAGAAACGATCGCTAGAAAACGCGAACCAGTGACGTCATAGCGTCGCGGCGCTTGGCGTCGAACTGGCTCCGCCGAATGGCATTACGTGCCAGTGCGTTGCTACTGGGACGCGCAAGCGCGAGCCATCGCTTCGCTTCGGCCGGAGAATTCTCGATCGTTCCTCTTTCTTTCCCCTCTGAACCCTAGCGCCTTCGCTCTCTCGCCCCCTCTCGTGGCTTTCTCTCACCCCGTGCAACCCCTTCTCGTAACTCCTGCCTAGCACTTGCTTCCTCTCTTCCTACCCCAGATACGGCCCTGCTCTCCGCTTTCGTTCCTCTATCGCGATATCAGTCACCTTCTCTGCCAACCGGATCCTCCAAATACATCGAGCAAATTGATTTCGATTGACCAAAGATAATTTCCACAGGCTGGCCTGGCACTTTCTTCTCGTGCCCCGCGAGTACCTACCCCCGATCGGTTAAACGGTTAGTCGCAGTCAGGCGAATGAAACGACAATGAAACGGACACTTTCTTGTGTCTTTTTTTTTTTTAGGTAATAATAATTTTTATCAATGAAATGTAAATATATTACAAAGTATGTCTCAAAGAAGCCGCTTGGTTTGCGGTGAGCAAGAATTTCTTCAAACTGGTGTACCTGAAAACAAAAATAAAGGTATATTTGAAGAATATGTTAGACCAACGGGTCCCTGATCGTAGGATTTTTTTTTTTATTTTCTTATATGCTTTTCTTTCTATTCTCTATTTAATCACTTAATTTCGTAATGAAAATTGAACTTCAACTTCGAATGTACGTCACTTCGTTTGAAATTAATTTTCTCCGAAATCCTTCGATCAGGGACCCGTTAGTCTAATATATTCTCCAAATCTACCTTTATTTTTGTTTTCAGGTACACCAGTTCGGAGAAATTCTTGCTCACCCACGCCATCGTCTGTTACGACGAATCGAATTAACCTGTTTTTAAAACAAAAATTCTTTCATGGTTCTTTTAAGACATACCTTGTAATATATTTACGTTTCATTCATAAAAATGATTATCTAATACCTTAAAAAAGACACACGAGAAAGTGTCCGTTTTCATTTTCCTGACTGCGACTAACCCCTTAACCGTTCCTTACAGACACGCGACTGGAACCGTCATCTCGAAATAACAATCTGTATTTCATTTAATTTCATTCGTTCGTACATACACTCGTATCGTTCTTTCTCGAATCCACCGTGTTCCGAGATCCTCCCGAACTCTCGATCCCCGCCATCCAGGCTTCTTCGACTTTTCCGTCTTCGTCATCCTACAACGTGTTCGTCGATCCATTCTTATACGGCTTTCGATTCCACTTTCGCAACTTCTCTACCTACTCGCATCGAGAGAACTACTTCGGTTGTTCGCAGTTTTGCCGTATCTGTGCTCGCGCGATCGCTACTTCGCGTTTTTCCATGTTTACCCTTATTCTCTCCGAGTCACATGCACCGAATGATAAATACCCCGTTCATCCTTCTCCCCGCCCTCCCTATATTTCTTCCCGCGAACGCGCAAACATATGCGCGTCTTCGTGTTTTTTTGTCGGAATGAATAAGGATCTCGCGAAATTACGGACTGCGCGGAGAACAGAGAGCGTCGTTTGGATTAATAGGAGCAATCGGGGCGAGAAATAATCCTTGTCGTCGCGAGGGACTCGTCTCGCGCGTCTAACTTTTTCACTGGCAAACATTTCCGTCGGTCTGAACTTCTTTGTTCCTATGATTGAATTATTGTTTTCCGTGGAACGCTATCGTACGAGCTGTTTTGTCGCGGTCAACGTTAATTTCACGATGGAACACTTCTACGAGGGAACTATCGTTACGCTTTTACGATTATTAGGGTCGATAGGAAATTTCAATGGCTAGAAACGGAATCTTCGATCTCGGTCCTTGGTCGATATCATTCGTCGCTGGTCACTGTTATTAATAATAATAATAAAATAATAATAATACTTTATTTACGGGCAATCTGCCCTTGATATCAAGTACAATGTAGTAACAACGAGAACAAGAAAAACAAACCAAAAATGGTGACGATTACGGAATCCTATAATGTAACGTGTTCATTGCGCATCTGCAAAATTGCAACGACTGACCTTTCAAATGCCAAAAGTGAGTCACGAAAAAGATCAACAGACATATTAAGGCTGTTAGCGATCGCACATATTCTTGTAACTCAATTTTCTTTCGCAATTGAGGTACGATATGGATCGGTGTGAAAAATATCGCTGCTTCGAAGTTGTCTACTTGGAATATTAAATTTCGACAGTTCCAGTACATTCGATTTTACTATTGACAATTTGAGAAACTAGCATGAGATCGGCTAATAGTCGTTAATATTTAATATAATCGCGCGACATCTCGATGGTCGATAAATCAACTCTCCCCCTCCATTGTTTACACGCGAAACGAAAAGCTAGGCGGCTTTCTTCTCTCCCGATGGATCATAACTCTTGCTTCGCAAATAACGTTGGTTCTTCTGGTCGAAGCATTCGCGAAAGTTCACCCTCCGCCGTTGCTCGTGACCCTCCATTATCAAATGAAACAGAACGGAACTCCAAACGAACCGGTATCTTCTTGTTTATCGCGGTGATCGAATCGTTGCCGCAGCCATTGGCTCCACCATTTCTTCTATTATCACTGCCTCCGCTATCCGTCGACCTTCTCCTCGCTCGTTTTATCGTGTTTCGAATCGTACCGAATATGGATAGACTACGACCGAACCTCGACGAGTTCGACTCCCGCTACACGATTTGTTTAGAAACAAAAAAAAAAACAAAAAGGATGTCACTTTCGTAAACGACAACGAAATAAAGCTACGATTTAAAAAGGTTTCGAGTCGCAGCGATCCGATCGTACTCGATAACATCGAAAATGGCATTATTCGCGGGAAAAATTTCGTTCGTGTTACGAGTCGATTTCAGTTTTCAGTTTCGATTTACGTCCAGCCCTGTCGCGCTATAAATATGACGTGTCCAACGAGATCAAACGAATGATTTATTCGCTCGACGCGCTCTCTCCAAGCCACGATTTCTACCGAGCTGGTTTTTCTCGTCCCGTGCCCAATGGATTTTCGCTGTTCGACTTTGGAATTCTAATGTAAGCGAAATTTGCTCGGGTTCGAGTGGGAACGATCGTTTCGTCGCGATTGCGAGATCCACCGTTTCCAAAATTTTAAGCGACGGCAAAGCTGCGATTAACTCTATGCACGGGTCGACCTTTTTCGACGGCAAGCCATAGACGAAAATTTCGAATTTTCGTCTACTTAAACGAGTCGCGCGACCTCGTTGCCTTTAATAATTTCATCGACGACCGTACTCGAAATTTCCAGTTCCCATTCGTTGGCCATCGTTTGGCGTACGTCGACACACCGGCGGTAATAAGTTCACGGATTATCCGTCTCTTAAATCATAGCGAAAACGCGTTCCAGCTTTATTCCCCCTTTTTTTTTTTTTCATTTAACGCTCGACGAATTTACGCGTCTACCACGAATTCCGATATGGGAATATTTATACCGCACACTCGTATCTTATAGTCAGCAAATATGCGTTAGAATTTTCGTGTTGACCGAGTCCTCGCGCTGCAAAAGTCACCGATATTCCCCTGCATTCGAAACTCGATGTTCCATGTATCTCATAAACCTCTGTCGGAATAAATTTGCATCTTTGGTCTCGTAGGTCGACCGTCTCGCGAGCGATACGTCGACAACCCCTAACCATATATCGATTTCTCGTCACACGTGTAATTACGGTATTCGTACCCATTTGTGTAAACCTAACAGATTATAAGGCAAGCGGATCGATTCGAGGCTAAACAAAGAATTCTAACGCGGCTACTTAAAAAAAAGTAGCGTTTTGATTCGTTTTGATTGTTTCTTAATATTTATATATATTCCTTTACTTGGGAACTGTCAATTATCTTTGTGTACTATTTGCTTTGTTGTGTCAATTTTATAATGGGTTATGCCCGTATATATATTGAAATAAATGAAATAAATGAAATAAATGAAATAAATGAAACAAATGAAACAAATGAAACAAATGAATACGGAATAGATAAACGCGTGAACGGTATACGGATCGAAAAAGATTTCATTGGATCAGAATTGAACGGAGTGGTTGCAATGTATCAGAGTAAGCAAGAGGACAGTAGTGGAGATCGATATTAAGTCAGACTCCGATTCCGTTCGTAGAAACTTTGGAGTATAATTTTTACGACTCGAGACGTCTTCGACCGACGAATCTGTTTCCTAAAATAAATTTAATATCGCCGTTTCACATATCGATCCCGTTTCGGTTGATTTATAACAAGTATAACGTCGGAGAAGCGAAGGAAAAATACGTGTTATCGCGGAGGAGCGTATTAATTATTCTCGCGCGAGAAAATGTCATGGTTCCCAGACGTCGTAACGGATGGCCAACAAGTACACGAATCGTTGGGCCGTGCGCGATTCGGATCGATAGATTTAAAACGAGCCCTTGGAATGGGTTCCGCGGTGACCCGCGGTGATGAATAAAAGAACAGGTCTTGCTCGACGTTGCGTCTTAACGGGAAAATCGGATATGTAACTCTAAAAGCACCGAAATCTCTACCTTCGTCACGTTCGCCGTCTCTTTTCCTTTTTCCACGGAATCGTTCATTTCTTTTATCGAAAGAGTATAGACGCGCGACGATATGGAAACGAACGTTGCTGGGACAACTGGAATCGACGATAACGGAGAACGTGCGAGCGCGCACATGTCCCCGATACACCGGTGGTATCGCGTAATTGTACACTGTCTTGCATTCGTTCGTTTCAATCCCAGTAATTATTATCCGCGCTTGTTACGATCCCGGCTGTCTATAGATTTCCAGGAAATCGCCACGCTTGGCTCGTTCGCACGCATCGTCGCGGTCGTCGATGACTCACACCAGCCATTAAACAAATGCGAGGGGTCGTCCAGGTGAAACAGAATGTACACCGGCTCTTGATTACAACGCGGATTCGTTAAATAAAACAACGTCGTTTCCTTACTTCCGACCTGCTTGCGTAGTTTCTTCCGTTGGAAACGATCGACTATATCGCGGAACAAGCGAAGGGCCGGTGAATCTTTGCGAAAGGACTGTTGGACACTTCGGGCCCTTGGCGACTCGATGTGTGAAGTTTAGTCGTGTACGTATTTATAATGAAACATTTATGTAAAAATTTATTTGAAAATAGACCTATTATTTCATTCAGAGAAATTTCTTCAATAGAGAAGACGTATACTTATGGGGTTCACTGCATATCACTCAAACATCCTTAAACACGATACGCGTTGGAGTCCCATGAAAAATAAGAGGCACCAGTGTTGGATACTTCGGACCCTTGGCGACTCAAAGTCCAAGTCCCCGACTGTCAAAAATAAACCAACACCGGAAAAGATC